GGGGGGATAACCTGTTCTTTTTCATTTATTCACACCATTCAGTTTTCCCTGCAGAGAGTTTTTCTTTGATGCTGTTTCATGTAAGAAATGTGTGTAGTAAACGAATTTGTGTTTGTTACGGCATAGTATAATAAGTGCAACTAACCCAGAAAGTGAGTGGGTGGTTGGCGGGTGCTCTGGTGTGGTTTGCGTCTTCTTTCCTGTCAAACTTCTATCGTTGTTATTTCCCCTCCTTCTTTTTTGTTGTTGTTTGTTTGTTACTCTCTTGTAACACCTTATGTGAACTTATTGTGTTGCTAGGGCCGTAAAACTCTTATTTAAACTAAACCAGTAAGTGAACATTACAAGAAGTTAAGGGAAAGACTTGCTAAGTTTACTGTTGGAGGCGTGCACATATCAATTCCCAATCCGATCAAATAATTGCCGAAAAAGATATCCTAGCAACTCGAGTATTATTATCTCTTTTCACTTTTACCGTTAACAAAGAGGCTGTAAATAATACTATTGATATCCTCTTTGACTGTTAAGGTATACACAAAGTACTCATCTAGAACTCATGGCAGTGATGTCACCCACTCTGGATTCCTGAGCGGTAAGGGAAAGAAAAGGCTTATCAAACGGTGAGCCCTTTTCGAGACTCACGTGCACACGTCTCGACTGTCTTTGGAGGAAATCTTCAAACTTGTGTTGATATGAAAGGGTCAATACCAGTGTGGTGTTCAGTGTACAAGAGCTCTAGGAGAGTATGATGGGGGCTTAGATTATCGATGTAAATGGGGATGCGAGCTCCAGTAATAATAATATTATACCCTCTTCGGGTATAGCTATTCGTATATGTCCATATTATTTGCTCAGTTGAGTTATTTTTCTGGTCCATTTTCTGAGCGTGGGATTGAGAGCTTTTTCGTTTACTTTAGAACCTCTCAGTCATCCCTCTCTCTTTCTCTCTCTCTCTGTCTGTCTCTCTCTCTCTCTCTCTCTCTCTCTCTCTCTCTCTCTTTCTCTCTCTATCTCTCTGTCTGTCTGTCTCTGTCTCTGTCCCTGTCTCTGTCTCTGTCTCTCTGTCTCTGTCTCTGTCTCTGTCTCTGTCTCT